CTAAAGGAAGGCCAAATACAATGAACAACTTTGGGGTAAGATTGTTGTAATTTAAGCAACAGAACACATTTTTCCAGGCTCTATAATGTGACAAAGCCATGTGGGATGTTGGGACAACATGAGGAAAGCTTATACATCACAAGCCAATGGTGACTGATTTACAAGCTTTCCGAGTGTTCTCCAAACATGCTAAGGGGCTTTATCATGTTATAGAGCCTTGAAAATGCATTCAACTGCTTTTATAACATAACTAGTTATATGCAGGCTCTATAAACTTATAAAGCATCCACTCGGAAACAGAATGGACCAATCAGACAATGCATACTATGTTCAGTACCGCCGCCCAGTTAGCCCAATGGATAGTGCGCTTGACTGTAGTGCGGGAGGTCGAGGGTTCGAGCCCCGGCAGGACCAACACTCAAGGTCTTAAAATAATTGCGAAGAATTTGCTGCCATTCTATAACATCATGAAATGGTTAGATATTCTAGTCTTCTCGGATAGGGACGAATAAATGGAGGTCCCGTCTCCTGCAGGGTTGGGGTAGGAGACGTTAATTTCCCACACACGAGATTTCTGTGTGATGGATGTCCTCCCCTGGGGTAGGATAGTGGGTTTGTTGCGAAAGCTGTAAGTTAGATAACTCATTGGGTTAATTATGTCACCTTTGTTAAATAAAGAGTATTGTATTGTATTATGTTATAACTGAATCTGAGTTTAAAGATAAATTACTAGCGAGTTAAATTTATTTAATAAATTCAGTAGTTGTCAAGTTAAGGGAAAAGAAAATCAAGATGCCATAGATTTGAAGACACATTGATTAAAATTTCTGTGTTTGGGTGTTAAGAATCCTAACCCTTTAATTTTCATTAGTGACCAGCATTGAACTTCTCCTTACAGTAAAACTACTGAATGAAACATTAAGGTCAGGAGAATAAAGGAAATGATCACCAACTAAAAAATCTTTTGACTGATATTCAAATTTGCCTGTCAGTACTTTAGGAAATGTTAAAAGAACAGTATTGTGAATATGCATACTGATGCTGGACTATAAATATAGGTGTAACAAGATGATTGGAGATTCTTGGATACAGCAGTTATCAAAAATGTTCAAGAGACCTATTCTTTTTAAAGTACCTCAAGGTCTTTCCCCTTTCTCACCTTTAATTCTATTTTGAGGATCACTTTTTTGATGTTCTGAGATCTTTCAGAATCTTATTTATTTATTTCTTTTTTACAGGTTTTACTAAATGAGCTTGGTCTTGATGAGAAGCTTATCTCACCCCTGAGAACAAATTACTTGATGCCAATCACAAGATTGTTGTATCCTGAATGTGGGGGCAACACCTTAGATTCACACAAGGCATTCACGGTACATTACAAGATGGGAGAGGATCTTGACCTCAGTTATCACTATGACAATGCAGAGGTCACTTTAAATGTATCACTTGGTAAGGAGTTTATTGGAGGAGAGTTGTTTTTTGGTGATATGAGACAGGTAAGCTTTGAATTTGAATTGCATCACCTTTGTGTCACTGAAACGCGACATTTACATACAAAGAAACTAGCATACAGTGCAGGCGTCCTATTAAGGCGAGTTAACATTACAAGGGTGTGATTTTTTATTCGATTGGCCATGTTTGAATAAGACCCTCTTGGTTCAAATGTCTTACTCTTCCCAGTCTTCGTCTGCTGTAAAAATCAAACAGGGGAGCTATGATTTTCACCAAGAAAACACTGAGTACTTGCTCTCCAAAATTTCGCCTGCTCTGCAGGCTGGAAGGAAACCTCAAGATTATGAGCGAAGTCCAAGATCGAAAGTTCCGTGCGGAGCGCAAACATAATTTCTTCGGGCTGATTTTTATGGACTCGCGCTACGGACTTCGTCAATAAAATGATGAATTACCTGTGTTAAAATTTGGGGAAGAAAACAACAAATGGAACACCCTTTATAAACAAATGCTAGTTTTGATTTAGACTTGGGCCTTTTTAGGTCCCCCTGAAAGATACACAATGTACTCAGTGTGAGCACGTGACAAGTTACGGGCTTCTTCACAGAGGTCAACATATGCATGGAGCTTTGCCCATCCAATCAGGAGAAAGAATCAACTTGATTATTTGGATGCGGAGTTCTGTAGTGCGTGATAAATTGTGTCCGATGTGTGACATGGAGCCAAGACTAGTGCCATGTTCTGGCGAGGGGGATGGATTCACCACCAGAAACTCTGTGCCAGTCTGTTCAGCTCTTTAAGCAAGGACCTAAAGGCTATAGAGAAAGCAAGAAGGGACCCAGGGAACTTAAAAAGAAAAAACTTGGGGACTGCACCATATC